TATTGATAATGAGGAATCTCTTTACATAACCTTCACAATAGCAAAAATAATATATATATCTATGTATATACATATACAAAGACACACACACCTACTGCAGTAAATTTCTTTTTTGGAGAAGTTTATTAAAATTGTACCCCTTTCAGGAAAAATAACCCCTTTGAATACAGCAATCCCACTCTGGGAAATCTGCCCCCAGTGAGCACGTGACCCTATAATCTAATATGTCCAAAGTCCTCTACAGCCTTTCTTGTAGCATTGTTTGATTCCAAAACCTGGAGACTAAATCCTACCAACAGTGGGTGGTTGAACCACTGAAATAGCCACAACCTGGGTTATTAGGTAGCTTTAGCCTTCCCCAGCAGCCCAAGGGGGACTTCTGTGCCGTATCATTTTTTTCTTTTTTAAAATTATGTTTATTAAGGGATCACATTTTGTGCTTTATTATTAAATGAAAAAAGTGAAGAAATGTATATTAGAGGCTCTTGTTTTTGAAAAACTAACCAACCCCACACACATCTGTATGCCTTATGATTGTGTGAGCACAGAGAAAGCTATCAAAGGACACATAGGCATCAGATACTGGGTTGGAGAAGAAAACAGGTACCCAGAAGTTAAACATTTTTTGAAGATTGCGTTATGTATGCATACAAGAGGTGGGGTGCAGGCCAGAGGTGCAGAGGGGTGGGAGAGGGAGGCTAGAGGATCTACCAGAGACAGAGTGGGGAGCACAACAGGCAGATGGACAAGTACACTGCTGAGGGGAGCAGCAGGGAGACAGGAGGGGTCTGCTGTGCTGTGGGTCAGTCCTCTGGCTGGGAGTTGAACTCAGGATGCAGTGGCTAGGGATAGCTTCATAGTGCTAAGACTTTAACCCCTGCACTACCAGGGAGGCCCTCCTATATATATATGTGTGTGTGTGTGTATGTATGTTTACACACATACACACATATATTTTAAAGATTTATTTATGCTTATAGAACAGAGGTGCAGGGGCAGTAAGAGGGTTCACCAGAGACAGAGTGGGGAGCAAAACAGGCAGATAAGTACACAGCTGAGGGGAGCAGCAGGCAGGTCAGGAGATGTCTGCCACGCCATGTGGGTCACCTCTGGTGCATGGGATCAAACTTGAACTGAAGCGGCTGCAGCTAACTTACAGTGCTGTGCTTTAACCCGCTGCACCACCAGGGAAGGCCCTAAATTTCCTCTTTTAACCAGAATTTCTAGGAGTATTTTTAAACTGCCAAGTTAAAACATTTTGGTATTTGGTATTTTTCTATTTTTGTTAGATTCTGCAGAATATGGGCTTAAAAATCTCCACTCCTTCAAAACATACCATAAACTGTGGTTAAGTATCAACTTTTCTAAGGGTTCCAAAGACAAAATAGAAAGTTTGGATGTTGACTATTCCTGGCTCTCTTCTGAGTCCTTTCACAGGCATACGCTCCTCGTAACAACCTTTAAAGGTAGGTATTATTGGGGGCTTCCTTCGTGGCACGGGGTTAAGTCTCAGCAGTGTGAAGCTCTCCTCAGCTACTGCAGCCCAAGTTTGATCCCCGGCCAGGGAGGGACCCACAGGGTGCAGCAGACCTCTCTTGTCTCCCCTCTGCTCCCCACGCTGGCTCTGGTGAATTCTCTCACCACCCCTGTACCGCTAGCCTGTACCCCCAGTTCTGTATGCATAAATAAAATAAATCTTAAAAAACTGACTTGCATATTTTTTAAAATCTTTTAAAAAGAGGGTATTATCTCTAACAATGAGAAAAAGAAGGCATGCCCAGGGCGAGTAACTAGCCGCTTGTAGAGCATGCCAGACCAGGGCTCCTGTTTGGCCAGATCAGGAGTGGCTTTCTGTTGCGGACCGCTGGAAACCCTTCCCAGGAGACCACGCGGACCCTCAGGCCAGGCCAGCCACCCAGCTGTGCCACTAGAGAACTCATGAGCCCTCTCTGTGCCTGGGGTTTCTCTGTAGAATTTGGACACTGAAGCAACCCTACAGGCGACTGTGTTGATTCCATAAGATCATAAGGAATAGTCGGTTCCAGTGGGGTGTTTCTTGAGGTGCAGGGTCCAGAACTATACAATTCAGATGCCTCCTGGTTTCACACAGGGTGTGGTACAATTCACAAATATCCATCTGGTCTTTGCCCCCGGGTCCTGGCACAGAGGACCTGCCAGGCTGTAGTCTTAATAATCCTAAGAAGCCAAGTTGAAGCAAATAGGGTGACTTACTGCCAGCACTGAGGACCCTGAGATACTTCAAAACAATCACAGCTCTTCGGAAACACCAACCTGGCGCCAAACCCCGCCTAGGGCAGGAGCGGGTCTTCTGTCCCCTGCAGTCAGCCTCGCCTGTGTAATAAAGCCCCAATGCAAACTGACCGACAGGGCTTGGGAGGCTTCCGGCTCAGGGAGCACCCTGCTGTGGCAGGAGGCAGCACCCCCCGCTCTGCCCTGCCACCCTGTTTGTCCACCCTGTTTATCGTTATTGCTGTCCTTCGTTGATCAGCATTACAATAAAACTGGTGATAAATGTAACCCTTTTCCTGCATTCTGCAGGTCATTCTGGCAGATTGCTGAATCTGAAAAGGAGTGGTGGGAACCCTCAAATTTGTAGCCAGGTTGGACAGGGTAGCCTGAAGGCCAAGACTTGTGACTGATTCCTCAACTGGAGTCTGCAAAATCAGGGGCTCTTGTCAGAGCTGCTGTGGTTAGAACCGAAAGGATGAGACATTTCTAGCCCCTTCCCTGCTAACCACGCCCCAGCATCTTATATCTTTTGGTTCTACATTCGAAACTCCAAACTCTGGCAAGATCGAGTAGCTAACAGGGTGAGGGGCCAACCCCAGGCTGCTGTCCTGCAGAGAGCCAGCGGCAACACTGCCCACTGCCCGCACTAGGGAGGCTCACATCTGGGCCCCCGGCACCCCCGTGATGTACCAAGTACAATTTTGTTTTTCTTGGGAAACCACTTTATTCACAGCTTCCTGTTTAAGGCAGCTTGAACTAGGAGGGATATGGGCAGAGGAATTTGTGGCAGTAGGAACCCCCCTGGTTGCCCAGGGGTTCAGTCTCAGCACAATGACAACCAGTCACTGCAGCACAAGCTCGATCCACCCCCCGCCCCCCCAGGGCGGGACCCACAGGGCCCAACAGACTTCTCCTGTCTCCCGCTGCTCCCCTCAGCAGCGTGTTTCAGTGCATCTGCCTGTTCTGCTCCCCACTCTGTCTCTGGTGAGTCCTTTCACCTCCTGCACCTCTGGTGCACCCCAGTTCTTGTGTGCATAAATAAAATCTTTAAAAAAAAAAGAAAACAAATAAGTCAGAAACAATAGCATAAGAGGCACAAGTCACATGCTTAGTAAACAAGATGTGCATGGACCCTCAGGACTCATGGAGAAGCAAGCAAACAGAAGGAAATACGGAAGACGTGTAAAAGATAAATAAGCTCAGAAGACGCTGAGCCTCGCTAGGGAGTGTGGACGAGAACCACCAGGAGACATCCCACACACCTGTGTGCAGCCAGTGATAGTGGGGACACAGGACCCCAGCTCCCTGCTGTTGCCAGGAGTGTAAATACTGGCAGCTTCTTTAAAACATGACCCCCGTCCTAGGTGATCCCCGAGCTCCCCTTCACCCCAGGGAAGCCGCAGGGACGAGCACATGCAGCCTTATTTGCAGTGACCGAGCTGGAAAGAGCCGGCGCGCCCCCCGCCAGGTGACCAGCCAAGCACACTGGCCCCTCCAGGCCACAAACGCTTGGGCCCTGAGACCGCCATTACGTGCAGCAGACCGCAAAGTCACAGGCTTAGTGCCAGAAGCGGAGGAGAAAGGAAGTCCAGGCTTTGTGCCTTGGTTTACACGCATTCTGAAAGATGCAAAGTTCATCTGTCGTGACAGGCAGATCAGCGGTTTCTCTGAAGAGCAACAGGCGCAGGTCACAAAGGGGCAGAGGAAGCTCTGGGGTGAGGGGCACCCTCAAGATCTCAAGATACCCACTGGGGTATCCGGGTGTAAGTCTGTTGAAGCCATCAAGTCGTGGGTTTGCAACACACCCACTTCCCCGTGTGCCCTGCCCCAAGGCTGCTCTCGTTAGGGTTTGCACTCTCCTAACAGGGTTGTCGTTTTGGGGTGACCCCTTAACCTTCAGCGAGTCACCTGGTATTGATGCAATAGGGAAAGGGCCAGTGGGCGCGGAGCCAAGCGACAGCTGGACACCCCACCCTCCCACCCGCCACGGACCAGGCTACCAAGCAGCACCGCTAGATCCCCAGTCCCGAGCGAGCCGTACGCTGCGCCCACCCAGCCGCCACCGGGACACTTCGCCTCCCCCCGCCCGCCTCCCAGCCCAGCTTTGTCACGAGGGCATCTAACCACCCATAGCTGGTTCCGCTTTGCTCGTGTCTGCTCTCACAGTGCAGTCACTCACTCAGTTTGCTGTTTCAGTTCAGTATCACATCTCCACGAGACCCATCTGTGCCCAGTGTTAAGTACATGACTATTCCCAATCCTCCCAGCAGCCCTCAAGGCGGACTCAAGAGTGCCCAGGGGGAATCCAGCCGGCCAGCAGGCCCCACCCTGCACCCTGGAAGCAGGAGTGAGGCCCACTACCCACCCGGGGACCGGGGACGTTGCACACTCCACCATCCAGGGACACCACACCTCCCCCACGGGAAAGGCTGCCCCCCACCCCCGCCCCACCCAGCAGACTCCAGCCAGGGAGGGCACCGGGCAGCAGCCGTCACAAAGGCAAACACCCGCGGGCCGCTCCAGGGAGCCTTGGACACGAGTACAGCGGAGCGTCACATGAGAGGATTTATTGCAGCGACTTTGTAATATAAAGTAGTAGAAACACTCCAGTGCCCATCAATAGGGTGCCACAGGCAAGTCATGAGGGGCCCACACGGTGGAGCAGCCCCGGGGAGGTCCAGACCAGGCCGATGCGATCCGCGAAGGGAGCAGAGAAAAGGGAGGCGACAAAACCCACCGGGGAAGCAGACTGCCAACCAACCGGCTTCCAGAGGGCTCCCGCCCCGGGCAGCGGGGCCTCTCTGTGTCCACGGGGTACTGCCCCCCCAGGGCAAGGCTACCTATTCAAAAATACATTAAAAAAATAACAATTCTCAGCTTTGAGCACATATTCTGGCTTTGGCCTTGCTTTGGCTTGTGGCCAGCCAAGACTTTCTCAGAGGCCTCGCCGGTCCCCTCCCCACTTTGGCACTTTGGGGGGGGGCCTCCCCTTTCAGAGCCATGGCGGCTGCCACCAGGTGGCGCTGTCGGCCGCCGGCTCTGCAGGAGCAAAGTCAGTCCTCCTGGGGGGCTCACCCCCACCCCACTCCTCAACTTAATCCTCCGGGAGCCTGGGCAGGTCAAGTTCGGAAAGGCACCCCAGTCACCCCACACTTGGCCCATCAAATGCCTTCCAGTCGGGCCCAGGCAAGCTTCAGCACCTGGAAGCTGCCTCTCCTGCCTGGGCCTGGGGGGACGGGGCCTGGCACCCTGCCCCTGGACTGGCGCCGTTGCCATTTCAGCCCCAGGACAGTAGGGGTCACAGCAGTCAGGCTCGGAGGGGGCACCGGGGGAGCTGGCCGCCCACCCCACCCAGGGCTCCTGCAGGATTCTCATCCGCCCCCCACCCTCCTGCTTCGCACCCGCTTCTTTAACAGGGGCCCACGCTCCAGCCCTCGCCCGCAGTCAGGAGGGAGACAGCGGCAGGCTCAAGGCCTGACGACCCACCAGGCCCTGGCTCAAGCCCCCCAGACAGGGCCTCCACACTCCACGCCTGCTCGGTGCCGCCCGCCCGCCCGGCCAGCAGCGTGTCCCCGGCGGAGCGGAGCCTAAGGGGCACCCAGGAGCAACGCGCAAAGGCGGACAGTGGTGGGCACAGTGTGGGGCCCTCTGAGTCAGGGCCTGGCCCTGGGGACCCTCGGGAACACCTGCAGGCCAGGCCCAGGTGCAGCTCGCCAGGGCATCGGCCTGTTGTCAGCTGTTCCCGACCTGGCAGCAGGGAGGCGCCAGGGCACGCCAGGGTCTGGGCAGAGGTGCTCGGCCTCTCCTGGGTCCTTCCACGGGCGCCTGGGGAGAACCTCTCTGGGGGGAGACCTCGAGGGTGTGTCCCCCCACCTGCATGATGCCATGGAGTCACCAGTGCAAAAGCTGTGCCAAGCAGAGCAGTGGGGCGGCCTGGCACACCGGCTGCCTGCGGGGGCCGCGGGCCCCCCTCACCTCGGCCCCCTCCCTTGTGAGGGGGTCACTGGGCGCAGGTGGCCCCTCCGGGGCAGGAGCTTCAAGATGCGCCACAGGGAGGGGGCAGGGAGGTGGGGCAGGGCCCCGCCCCCACGCAGAGGGTACAGTGGATTAGAATTAAACCAGCTTTAATAGCAATATAGTTCTCTCTCTTAAATAGTGGGGTTCCCCGGGACAGGGCCTGGGCAGGCTTGGCAGCAGGAGGAAAGGAGATGTGAAACACTGGAATGGATGCCTGGCGGCCCCGGCCACTCAGGGCGCCTTCTGTGGGGCCCTGGGGCCCAGCTGCCTGCAAGGGGGGGACAGCAGCTTCCTCTGGTCCAGTTATTGCAGAGGCGTGGGGTGGCCCCCAATTCTTCTCAGGATTATTTCTGCCCTACGAGGACAAGGCCAGGGGCCTGCGCGCCTCCGGCCTGGGAGCCACCCCTGGCCCCAGACACCCGACTCGAGCTCAGGCCAGGCTGGAGCGGGGGCCGCTGGCCGGCGCCTGCTTAGTAACTGCTCTGATGGCCCGTGAGGATGTACAGGTTGCTGTGAGCCCCCGGGTTGTCGGTGGGGATGCTCTCAAGGATGATGTCCCTGCAGGGGAGAGGACCGGAGGTGAGCGAGGGGCGGAGGCTGTGGGCACGTGCCTCTGGCCTCAGGGATGCCTGACGGAGGCCAGCGTGCCGCATCCTACCTGTGGGCCCCAAGCACTCGGAAGATCCTGGTCTCATCTGTGATCTCCTGGGTCACCTGGGAAGAAGAGGGCCGTGAGGCCACCCTGCAAGTCCTCTCCTAAAAGTGGGGACAGCCCAGTAGGGGCGGCCCGGTTCCGAAGCCCCTTTTACCTCATTGGTGTCCAGGCTGCGCCCCTGCATCCCGTGGCTCCAGAAGGCCAGCACGCTGTCCTGCAGACACACTAGGCGCAGCCAGGCGGCCATCAGCCCTGTATCTGTCCAGGGATGCTGGCTCCTCCAGCCATGCTGCAGGCCCAGCTTGGGGCCACTGAGGTCCCCCCAGACCACAGGCAGCCAGGATGGCTCCTGAGAAGGGCCCTGGAGACTGCTGCCCATCGCTGGGTCCCACGGTGCCCCCGGCCATGTGACCCCACCCCGCTTCTGTCGCTCACTCACCGACAGTCTCAATGGGGAAGTCGAAGGTCAGCTCAGGCGCCAGCATGGCCGTGGGCTCGCCCAGCAGGTTCACGATCCTCACACAGCCTGCGCGGGCAAAAGGCAGGTGGGCGGGCTGGGCGGCTCCCTTCCACGGGGAGGCCCACCCGCTTCCCTGGCCCCCACCCTCCACCGTGCCAGCCCGGCGGCCCACGGCACTCACGGTCGAAGCAGACGAGGACTGTGTCCCTGTCCACCTGAATCACCTGCTGGGCGGAGCCTGGGAGCCCCTCTGCAGGCAGAGAAGGGACAGCACTGAGCCCCAGCCCCGCTCTGGCCCCACGAGGACGTGGGGGTCAGCTCCAGCTGGTCAAGCACCCCGGGCCTCCTGCGGTCGGGGGCGGGGGCGGGGGCGGGGAGCCGCCAAGGCTGCTCTCACCGCACGGCTGGGAACTGAGGCTCACAGAAGCCAGGAGACCCGCACCGTGCAGCTCAGCGCCCGCAACCTGCACTCTGGGCCCGTCCCGACGGCCCCACGGGCCGCCGTGCCTACTCCAGGCCGCTGCTCAAGGACACGGTCTGGTGTGAGGGACCCGGCGAGGGGCGGGCGCAGGGCCCCCCGCGCCGCCCTCCTGGCCCAGCACCCGCCTGGCCCCGTCTGGCTGTGTCCGGCTGCCCCGTGGCGCAGCTTTCTTACTGGCTGAGCCCTGTGCCCCAAGAGAAGTCTGTGACGGAGGCCCAGCGGGAGGGAGGCCCAGTGCGCCGGCCCCGCGGTCTGTGTGGCGCCTCAGCTGCGGGGACGGACACCCCACACACTCCCTCACACACCTCGCTCACACCCCCAGCTCACCGGGTGGGATGAGGACGTCGGGCGTCAGGCCGGCCTCCAGGGGCAGGATGTGGAACAGGACGCGGCAGCCCGGGCCCTCGGGGCCCTCGGCCCCCACGCACACCTGCGGCAGCTCCTTCCCGTCCAGCACCAGTGGCTCCAGCATCCCTGCTGGGCTGGGCAAGGGGCTGGAGAAGCTCTGGGGGCAGCAGGGGGTCACATCTCCTTCCCCAAGCCGCCCGCCGCCCCACCGGCCGCCGCCGCCCGCCCGCACCTTCAGCAGCAGGAACTTCTGCAGCGGCTCGTACCACTGGAGCAGGAGCAGGCTGGCGGGCAGGGCGGCCAGCAGGAAGGTGCCGCCTGTGTAGGGGTTCCGCACTGCGGGGAGCAGCCAGTGGGCGCCGGCCCGTGGGCGCCGGCCCGTGGGCGCCCCTCAGCCCGCTCGGCCAGCTCTTACCCACACGGCACTGCAGGCAGCCTTTGGTGTCGGGGATCTTGGCGGACAGGGCGAAGCGCCTGCAGGGGACAACCGCGCCTGTCACAGCCGCCCCCAGCAGAGCCCCGAGAAGCGGAGTCCACAGCCTCCCCGGCCTGCCGGGGTGCGACTGAGGCTCGGGAGGCCGCGCCCGAGTGACCCCGCTGGGAAGGTGCGGGAGCTGCTGTGTCTCCAGGCACAGCCCCCCCAGCGGAGCCAGAGCCGCCGGCCTCGGGGTCACGGCCCACTGCGAGGCCCGGGCCGGCCAGTGGACTCCTGAGCCTCCCTGCTGTCACTGCGTGGGGCTGACAGCGGGGGGCAACGGAGCCCAAACCGGAGGGCTGCCAGCCGCGGGGCTCCTGTAGGGCGTCGCCCCCACGCCCTCGTCCTGTGTGACGATGCCCCCCCACCCCACCCCCCAGCCACTGTCCGTCCTTAGGCAGAGACAGGATGTAGGTGAGGAAATGAAGGAAAAAGTGAGTGTGGAGGGTCTGCGCGTGGCTGGGCGGGGGCCAGGGCACTGGCCGGCCCTGCCCGCAGGCCGCATGTCACCGGCCCTTGGCCCAGGCCCAGGCCCTGCAGTGAGGAAAGGAGCAGCAGCTGCCTCAGCGGACGCTGCGCAGCGGCGGGGCTCACCCCAGGAGAAGCAGGGTCCTGGCCTGGCTGGCGGCCCCCAGCCCCAGGGGACTTCCCGCGCCTGCTTCCTCCTCCTGGGGCCAGGGCCACCTGCGGGCAGCTCTGCCACCTGCCTGGGATCTGCCTGGCAGCACCTGACGCCGCTCTCCGACTGCGCTCTCCCCTTGCTCTGGCTCCTCCCCGCCCCCCAACCTGGCTCTGCACCAGAGAGGCAGGGATTTCTGCATTGTTTTTTTCTCTGAACAATTCTGGTGCCCTGAATTTACATTCGACTTGGCTGTTTCCCACACACGTGCCCGAGACACCCGTGACCCATGGCTCTCTTGGGCCTGCAGCCCTGGGCTGAAGCAGAGACTGTCAGGAAGCCGGAGGCTGTGGGCTCCAGGTGCACCCTCGGGACCAGGCACGAAGGGCCGGCCATGCTCCCCAGCTGATGTAGGCGCTGGCCTGGCCTCTGCCCCCTCCCTGGTCAGGTCTAGGCCGGCCGCCTACTCCCTCCCCAGAGCTCAGCCACGCAGGCTGGGCTTCAGCTCGCAGGCTCCAGCTCGCAGGCTCCGGTCCATGCGCATCCCAATGACATAACCTCCGCCCCACCCAAGGCGAGGGCAGCTCCATCCTTCCGCTGCCCCCGCCAAACCGCCTGGGAGGCACCCCCGCCACTTTCTCCTCCATCCACCGCATGTAAGGAAATCCTGTTGATTTGACTTTGAAAATCAAACCAGAACCCACCGCTTCAACTTCTTCACCGCTGCCCCGGCCCAAGCCATCAGGGACCCCAAATGACCGGGGCGATGGCCTCCTGGCTGGCCTCCACTGCCGCCTTGACCACTTCAGTCCGTTCTGTGCAGAGGCTGCAGCGACCCTGACTCTATCCCATCACTTCAGAAGCGGCCTTTGGCTCAGCTCAGAGTCCAGGGCCTCAGCGTGGCCACGGCCCCCTCCCACCCCCGTCACTCGCCCCCCCGTCCAGCTGGCCAGGCTGGCCTCCCTCTGCCGCAGGGCCTCCGTGCTGGCCGTGCCTGCTGCCCGCCGCGCAGACTCGCTCCATGACGGCCTCCCCGTCTAAGCTCAGACAGCACCCTCCCCACAAGATCCTTCCTGACCACCCTGTCTAATTCACACCTCACCCTCCCGGCCCGCTTCTCCCGCTCTTCACATAGCACGTCAGGCACCACCACAGAACACTCTTTCCTGTGGGTGGTTGCCTGTTTCTCGCTCGACAACCTCCAGAAGGGTCTCTGGGTGCAGACACACCTCGGGCCCCACCCTGCTGGCACAGAAGGCACGGGGAAGGTGTGCGCGAAGTGACGGAACGAGTGGCTGCCCTGACCATGCCTCGGCACCACCAAAGACAAGGTACGGGCCGCAGCTCTGAGGCCTCCCGGCCCCTCTCCCTCAGCGCACTCCCACTGTCTCCTGAGCCTGTCACGGCCACACCCCACATCTCCCGAGTCAGTCCAGTCCGCACCCTTCGGTAGCCTGACCCCACGTCCTTTCCGGTGCCTCTTGCCAGTCTCCTCACCGCCACCACAGCTGGCCCGCGGAAGCCTCTAGTGATCTGTGCAGATGGGCTCCTCTCACCCTCCGCCCAGCCCCAGGAGGGGACATGTGACCAGAGCTGGCCCAAGCTCCCCATTGCTTGGTCTCAGTGGTTGTCTTGGGGTAGATAAGACTCAGCCAGCCCGCCGAGCACGTGCCCGGGAGCGCGTGGGAGTCACGTGGGAACAAGTTCCAGCTGCACATACCGGGGCAGTCGGCCTGGAAGCCGCAGCTGCACCTGCAGGCAAGGCCCGCACGAGGAGCAAGGGGACAGGAGGAGCCACGCGAGGCAGACAGATCCCTGAGGCTGCGTCTACGCCTAGATCCAGCCAGGCCTGAAGCTGGCACCGACGTCAGTGAACAAACCAATACATCCTCTTTTACACCAGCGGGTCGAGTCGCCCGCAACGAGCAGGAATTCCAAAACACTCCCGGGAAAGACGCGCACTGGACAAAACCCAGCTCCTGGGCCTGGCAGCAGAGCGGGGGCCTGCCCCTGGGCTGTTCTGACATCCCGCCTCAGGCCAAACCCCCCCGCAATCCCAGACGCCCCAGATGCGCTCCAAGCTGGCTGCGCCCCTGCCCAACGCAGCCCCTCAGTCATCTGCCCGGAAGACCTCCGGGCGCCGTCATGCCCACGAGCTCGCCCGGGCTCGCTGCTCTCTGCCCCGGCCCCCTTCATCCCAGGACTGAGGGGCCGACTCTCAAGGGCCCGCGTGACTCTGCGCCTCCGAGCCCAGCACAGGACCCGGCGCCTCTAAGTGCCCAGTAAATGCTGCCCAGCTTGCCAGGCACAGCCACATCCACTGGCTCCTCCCTGCAGCCGCCAGACTGCGAGGTCCCGCTCCAGCCCCGCTCCCCCTGCCTCCCCCTGCACCAGGCCCCACCTGGGGATGATGCGCTGGGTGAGGCGGTTGGTGGGGATGGACAGGGGGACTTGCTGCTGGAGCCGCCGCTGCTCAAA